GAGAGAGAGAGAGAGAGAGAGAGAGAGAGAGAGAGAGACATACACACACACACAAATTCACTCACACCCACGCGTTCGGGCGCAAACAAACAAATAAACACCCATAGAGAAAGAAAAAGAGAGAGAGACAATAGGATGCAAAACAGAGAAAACGAGAAAGAAAGAGAGAGAGTCTAAATACATTTGAAAAGAGAGCAGACGAAGTAGTCTAATTAGATGTGTAAACAGCTGAACAGACAACACACACACACACACACACACACACACACACACACATACACACACACACACACAGACACACACACTATCACACATACACACATACATAGACACACAAACACACACACATACATACATAAACACACATACACACACATACATTCACACACACTAGCTTCCAGATTTTAGTGTCGTTTGGTTTAGATTGAGTACAGTATATAATTCCGATTTCGGGAAATTAAAATACTTTGAAGGTAAAATATTTCCATTTCCAAGCCATAAAAACCCTCTTACCTCGAATTTTGTTTTCAAAACTAGGAAATTGTGAAAGAGCAATTTGTATTATAGAAAGGAAGGAAAACATTAGAACCTATTCTGGTTAAATTTTCGTCCGTTTGTAAGGAAATCAATATTCTTTAAACGCTCGTGTTATACACACACGCATACACAGACACACACGCAGACACACACACACAAACACACACACACACACACACACACACACACACACACACACACACACACACAATGCTGCGCTTGCATCACTCACAATCAAGAAAGATACGAGGCAGAAACTGTATCGACAGCTGAAGGCCTCAATAAACATGATACGAGGGCTGTCCCACGGAAAACCGGAATTTGGCTGTAATTTGAAAACTATTCAATATTTTCACATTCTGTAAACGCACACTTGTAAAACAATCATTTAGAAATTTCCCGATTGAGCACCATGAGCATCGCACAAACCAAACGAGCACAGCATTTCTCAAAAGATGGCTACCCCCTTGGAAAATTGGTCAACGGTAGAAGTGAGGTCTGTCATTCGGTTTCTGACCGCAAAAGGTCTCAAACCTCTAGAAATACACACTGAAATAAAGTCAGTTTATGGGGAGAAAGTAATGGCATAGTCACTGGTATATGAGTGATGTCGTGAGTTCAAAGCCGGGCACTCCGATATCAATGACAAAGTTTACCCAGGATCTTGTTTTTCTGCCAAGACTGAGGACAACAAGAGTCGCGTTAACGAACTTATTCAAACAGACAGGCGCCTAAAAATTCGCGAAATTTGCGAGTCGCTAAACATTTCAAAGTCGACTGTCTATAGGATAGAGTTTGATGAGCTGCACTATTGAAAGGTCTCTGCTTGATGGGTTGAGGCCGAAAAAGACCAGCGGGGTCATTTTGCAGCATGGCAACACAACGCCACACACCGCAAACGTCACGAAAGACTGGTTCCAAAGGTTCGGCTAGGAAGTTCTACTACACCCCCCTCACAGTCCTGACTTGGCCCTGTCAGATTATTACCTTTTTGAACCAATGAAACGCCATATTTCTGGACAGCGATTCACCGACGACGAAGACCTCATGGAAGCCGTGAACGATTGGTTGAAATCCCTTGACGAAAGATTCTTCAGGGAGGGTATCTTCTCCCAGATCCAGCGATGGGAAAAATGTGTCCAGCGGGATGGTAATTACATTGAGAAATAAAGCACATGTTGAGGTATGATGTGTTACAGTTTTATTATAATAGGACAAAGATTTTTGCTTTTACGGACCTTTTCCGGATTTCCGTGGGACAGCCCTCGTATTACCAATACCACCAGCGGAAAAATAAGATACACACTCACACACACACATATATATATATATAATATTATATACGAGACTGGGCCTTCGTTGGACAGGACTGGGCCTTCGTTGGACAGGGCAACAGGTAGTCTCAGTTAAACCGAGAACATTATTATTCCAGTAGGTACGGAGAAAAGCGACATTCCAGCAGCGGGAGAGTTGTGTCCCTGATCGTTAGAGTGCAGAAAATTATTTATACCTCCTTGTTTTCCAACGGTTGGATAGGGAGGAAACGGGATTGTGGATAGGACATTGCACACGTACAACTAGACTCCCAGAAAACCAACAGAACCCCAAGGAAATGCTAGGTACAGACGAAAGGAAAGACGAGGAGACTGAAATTCAGGAAACAACAGTCTCAAAGAAAAGCCAACAATCCTTCTCTTTGGTGAAACAAGAACCAAGACATGAAGGAAACGCCCCCATTTACTTTGGATTACCTAACGCTTTGTTAAGTAACAATCTCGGAGTGATTGTGTGATGGTGAGTCACCTCCTTTCATCCGCAAAAGCTAATCCATACAAACACACACACACACACACACACAC